AGCAGCAGGTCAGGCACCAGGAAGGGTGAGACACCCACTCCCACCCCCATAGTGTAACGGATGAGGATTTGGGTTTGTTCACTCTCTTGTGAGTTTGGCTGGTTTGAGTTGGTTTCACCAGGGCTTCATCACCCGAGGTGAACGGATCAAGTCTGTTTCCTGAACATTCAGGTCTGCGTACAGCTGTAATGGTGCTGTAGTTGCTGTGCTTTGCACCAAAGCCCAGAACAGCCTACTTATTTCGCTCCTTTGCCTTTCTTCCTCTTCTCTCCCCTTCTCACCTTCTTCTTTTCTCATCCATCTCATAATGTTACAGGAGTGAACTTGTCATAGTAATCTGCCTGCCCGTGCAGATCCATCCCTATCCTGTTTGTCTCCGTTGTTCCTTTCGAAGATCGTGGCTGTGAACAAATTAGGCTGTTGGAGGTGTCCCCTTCCCTGCTCTTCCCCTCGTATGCTTCCCTCAACTTTCTGACGGAGGCTCACACAAGAGTAATCATTGCAAAGTTCAGGGCATCAGCAGCCAGTGGAGCTGCGCTTCTTCCTCAGGTGGGTTGAATTTGCAGCTGTTGACGTCTGATTTCATTCACCTGTGGCTGTGGCCTCTCCTTTACCTCCCATAAAGGGCCAGCCATGTCCAGAACCATCCTACTCCCCACTATGTTCTGCATGACGTCCTGCCTCCTTTCCTTCTGGTTTTGCTTGATCTCTCAGACCAAGAAGCGTGTACCTCATTTTTGTAGAGGTGTAGCCCCACATGGCAGGTGTTACCTGTGTTTGGTACAATAGATCTTTTGCTTAGGGATTAGACCCAAAGGGAGGAGGCCATCCCACTTATCAGAGCACAGAGCATCATATTCTGGAGTCTGCTCAGTGCTACTTGGCAAAAAATAAAGAGCCTTTCCAGGAGAAGCCATAGCAAATCAAGCTTTCTTAGACCTTGCCTCTGATGTGCTTATGCCCTCACGCTTGCCTTGTGCCTGGTGACCCTTCCTTGCTCAGAGCAGAGTCATAGAGTGATGAGCTTATGGATTTCTTCCCTAGCTGTGGAGGGTGGGGCTCTAACACAGGAGCCTTGACCTTGGGCCACGGCTCTGTGCATCCTTGTAAAAACAGGAGGTGCCCTTAGGTGATAAGATTCCTTGTTCCGGCCGACATCTAGATGCTTCCTTACACAACATTCTGAGGCCTGTTGAATTCTATTGAGCCATTGCGTCTCTGGAGGAGACTAGCATTCTCCTTGTAGTATGCCCTGTAGGAAAGTTTCGACCTGGTCTACCTCTTTCAGAGCATGAGTTTGAGAGCAGATTGATTGCAGGGCCTTGTCCAAGGAGATAATGGACTGACTCATGATACCTGGACAGACTCCAGAGCAAATTGCAGTGCCCTCTCCAGCTACTGGCAGAGCATGCCCTCTTCTGCTTGGACGGCTCTGAGCACGCTGGTGTCTGGCTGGCCATGTGGAGATGGCCAGGATCAGCTTTCCACCAAAGCTGATGGTTTTATATCCCATTCTCTAATCTGGTGGAAGAATTTTTCCTCAGCTCTGATAAGTCATCCTGCCTGATGCACCGGAGTTAGATGGAAGTGTTAGTTATTGGAGTGCCAAGGAGCAGTGTGGAATTCAGAGGAGATGAGGAAGAGGATCAATATCTAATGGCTTTACCAGACATTTCCAGGAGTGTGAGCAGTTGAGGACATGCGGCAGCATGGGGGTAGGGCTTCCAAAGGCTTTAGTTCTAGGGCTGCCTCTATGATGTACTGCTTTGTGACCTTGGGTAAGTTCCTTCACCTCCCTGAGTCACATTACCCTCATTTGACACAGAAGGATAAAAACTACTTTGTCTATCAAACAGGGTTGGTGTGAGCAGAAAATGAGTGTTTGGGAAAGTGTATTGACAGCCATAAAGCGTTATATTGACATAAGGCACTATTTTTAAAGTCAGTAGCTTTATATCATATGCCAAGCATGCTGGTCATGTTCTAGTTTGGGGGCAGAGGCACATTTACTCAGACACAGTCCATATGCCTTCTTGAAGGGCTTTCCTCCACCCAGGCTCCTTTTGCTGGGCCTGGGCAGATTCTCCATCTTCCCTAAGGCCTGAGAGAAAGAAGGAAGCAGCTTGCTCTCCTGAGAGGAAAGCTGGATGACCCCTGAAATCCTGCTAATATGAAGTATATTTTACCACAGATTTTTTAAAAATCAGCTACTGTATTAGGCCTATTTACCTATATGTCTTATTTGGCCCTCACAGTGACATGAAAGCGAGAGTTCATATAATAAAGTTTAAAAATTTAGAGCTTTCCCATAAAAATGTTGAGTTTGATTTCTCCTAAAATCGCAGCTCTGGCGCTGTCAGCTGTCAGCCAAGGCTTGTCAGGCCTGTAGGCAGGGCCAGTGAGTGCTCTTTGGTGCCTTGTGGCCCCTTCAGCTCCCCACTGTGCTGCTTGCATATGGAGTTTGGTTATTTGCCCGGCCTATGGAGGCATTTGGTTTTGACCCTGTTTGAAGGCATCTAAATCCTGCAGATGTTAAACCCTGCATTTATGATGGAGAAACTTGAATAGGCAATCTCATTTTCAGATGGGAGCAAAATGATATAGTGTGGAACTTTATTTATTTATTTATTTTAATTTTATTTATTTATTTTTTCCCCCAAAGTCCCAGCAGATAGTTGTATGTCATAGCTGCACATCCATCTAGTTGCTGTATGTGGGACGCGGCCTCAGCATGGCCGGAGAAGCGGTGCATCGGTGCGCGCCCGGGAACGAACCCCAGCCGCCAGCAGCGGAGCGCACGCACTTGACCGCTAAGCCACGGGGCCGGCCCTAGTGTGGAACTTTAAAACCATAAGTTATTTGTGGAAAGCCTTGAAAAGCCCTTAAAAGGTAATGGGCGTTAGAGTAACATGAGACATAGTATTTGCTCAGGCAGTAACACTGGTATTGATCAAAAAACTTAGAAGAATTATGATTCTGACACAGACTATGCTGTGGACATAGATTCTCTTTGAGTGTCCACCTGTCAGTTCACAGAAAACATCCAGGTCATTCTCATCCAGGTCATGCACCTTTTCCATTTGGTCCTTAAACAGTCATTGGGCACCAACTTATGTTCCAAGCTTGGGTGCGAGGTTTTCGTTCTAGAGGCTTCTTAGTGAGTGAGTTGATGGTGCCCTCAGAATACAGTCTGTTGTGCTTGCTTAAGTATATTTTGAGTCTTTCAGAAAAACAAAAAATTTTAAACACAACTCAGCACCAATCAGAATGAGTGTCAGTGTCAGACTGGATTTAAATCTAGCTTCATATGGTTAGTCTAGCTTCATATGCTTTACAGGAGACAAAAATAAGGACATGGAAAGATACGAAGTAAAGGATAGAGAACCACATATTCCAGGAATACTAACCAAAAGAAAACTGGCATAGCTTTGTTAATATTAGCCAATAGATTTTAAGGCAGAGAAGATCACTTCATGATAAACTATTTAATTTACTAGAAAGAATAATTCCTAATTCTTTCCATAGTCAGTAGATAAATCAGTAAGAATTTAGATTTGAACAATACAGTTAACCAGCTTGAACTCCATCTATCAATTACAGAATACAGTCATTTTCAGAACATATAAAACATTCATGAAAACTGGCTACACACTGAGGTGAATCTCGGCAAATTTCAAGACTTTTTAGTAAGGCAGTAATTCCTAACATTTTGCAACTAATAGACTCCTTTGAAAATCGCATGTATCTTATAAGTCAAGGTTTTTCAACCTCGGCACTATTGACATTTGGGGCTAGATGATTCTGTGCTGTGGCTGTTCTGTGTATTGTAGGATTTTGGCAGCATCTCGAGACTCTACTCGCTAGATGCCAGTAGTACCTCTCCTCCAGTAGTTATAACCAGAAATGTCTCTAGACATCGCCGAATGTCCCCTGGTGGGCAAAATCACCCCTGGTTGAGAACCACTGTTAATAGATCTTCTCTCTAGAGAAGTATATGATTTTGCGTACAATTTTTTCCCTCTCCTATTAGCTAGATGGTCTTGCCCGCACTGAGGACAGTTGAGTGGGATGTTTTGTAAGAAAAGGCAGTGGGACAGCCAAGGAGCCTGGAGGTTTGGTCTTTGCTCTGTGCACAGCTTCCTCCTATCCAGTGTATGGACACTGGCACATGAATGTGTGGCCACATCACAGAGTTCCTGATGCTGAGGGCCTGAGGACTCAGACTGCCGTCCAGGTCCACAGGTGCCAGGCTTCTGTTTTGTTCTAAGCCTTTTGCTAGGTGCTAGTCACACAGTTCAAGTGCATAACAGTAAAAAAGTAGATCATAAAATACGTGATACATGTGATCATGAGGGAATGTAAAAAGGAGAGCTTATCTTTGAGGAGCAAGTGATTAACTGTGTATGGGATCAGAGAAGACTTCACAAAGGAGAGGTGGACATCCAAGCTAGGTTTTGCAGGATAAATGGGAGTTTGTGGAGGGGAGGACATTGGAGGACATGTGCAGGTGGACCAGCAGGCTGGATTCTAGGGGTTAGTAATACGTTATTTTTGCTGCCGTGTAAAACAGGATGAGAAGATAAAGGAAGGTATGGGCGAGGCATGCTTAGGAGCTTGGACTTGATCCAGCAAGGGGTTGAAGCATTTTAAGTGGGGAAGTGACACAATCAGATTTCTGTTTAGAAAGTTGGTTTGAGTGCCTCTGTGAAGGACGGATTGGAGGCTGGGAGACTAGTTGGAGGCTATGCAAAGAACCCAGCTGAATGGTGAGGTCTTGAACTATCACCACAGCCGTGGGGATGGAGGGAGATGAACTCGCAGGGAGTCAGGTCCCCAAACCCCAGAGTCTAGTAAAGGGAGGTCCACAACCGTTACCTCAAAGGACACAGTAATGTCCCTGGTTAGAGAGAGGACACTGCCCTGAGCTCTGAAAATAAAGACGTAAGTTTTTATTTGAGAGAGATTTTTTTCCACTTTTTATATACATTTTTTTCCTCTAGGAAATAGACAGACGGTTGGAAAAAAAACTGAAGATCACACAAAAGGAGAGGTAAGGCTGCTGTCTGGTCTGAGGGCTCATGCTCTCTGCTATTTGAGAGCTGGGCAGTCAGTGGTGTTCTCCAGCTGGCTGTTAGCTTTAGCAGGTCAGGCCCCTGGGCAGTGATCCCTTCCCTCAAGGACGTGGTGGCTTGAGGCTTTGGGAGTGAGGTGGGAGTGTTGCACCTGCCTCCTACCTTAGTGGGTACCCTATGAGAGGTGGTTTGATGGAAAGTGGGGAGGTGATAAGTCAGAAGGCTTGGGTTTTACGCCTGGCACTGCTCCCAGTTGTTCTGAGGTTTGAGACAAGTTGTTTCCCGCTCTGGACATCAGTTTCTTTCTCTGTGATACAAGGAGGTTGGACAGATGATGTTTTTGGATCCTCTGTGACTTAGCGGCTTAGGGCATTATGGGGGTATCCTGGAGAAAAGATTCTCAGAAATTCTTAAAGACCGTTAGGGATAGCTTTTTTCCCCACCCAGACAGCAGAGGAATTGGGTTTCCAAAGCAGGTGGAAGTTGACTTCAGCAGTTGGTCTTTGGGCTTAGGGCTTAGCAGGAGGAGGGGGCCTCTCTGGACTTGCTTAATGTGCTACACAGTCATTCCCCAGGGAACTCTGGGGTATCCTGCCCACCCGCTAGCTTTCCTGGCTCCCTGCTGCTTTGATTGGATTACTGGCCCGTTCTCTGTCTGCTCGTCTCAGCAACACTAATGCCTGCTTACAGTCCCCTTGCCATGCCATTCCTGTGCTGCCCAGGACTTGTTCCAATTCCCCTGGCAGCAGCTGAGTTCCTCCAGTCCCTAGCCCTCCTGACAACCAAGGCTCTGAAAACAGGCCTCTATAGGCTGTTTGGTTCTGAAGAGAAGCTAGTTGACTGCTCTGGGGAGGATCTTTGTGGCTGTTGAGGGGTGGTCATTGCTGCCTGGATCCCGTTTTTCCTGTGGCTTTTGTTTCTTTCTCTTCCCATGTTGTTTTCCACCTCTCCTTGTGGACACATCGCCTGATGTGGACATCCACCAGCTTGGTCAATGCCACTCCTTTGAGCACTACCAAGCACTATTTCTAGGATCGTCCTTCACCCCAGCCCCGCCGTGTCCAGCGTACCAGAGAGCCCTGGTGAGGGAGTTGTCTCTGCTCAAAAGCTCTCCTGAAGAGGTGATCTAGTTGTCTGGTGTAGCTTGTCTCTGGGAGGCACAGATCACTTATCAGAAGGCTGAGGCAGTTTGGTAAATCCTGTCTTGATGCCAGGCAGGGATGGCGGAGCGGGCTTTGTAGTGTTTGACTGGTTTGAGCACATGTGGTGGAAGACCTTGGCTGGGAGGGAACACTTTGCTGACCCTTAAGCTAAGGGGCTCCCACTGGTGGCACCAGCCTGTTACACTCCGGTTTATGTAGGAAAGCTGGGATTTTAACTGAAGTCATTGGATTCTGGGCATGAAATGTTTTGACACAGGCCAAAGAGCGGTTGATGTGACTGTGAAGAACGTGGGGAGAGAAGTCCCAGAATAAGCTGGTGTTCCAGCCCCCTTTGCCTGGGGTTAGGTCTGAGGAGCACACCTGTGGACTGCGTGAGCTTATGGCAAGGTTGCTCTTTTGAGAAACCCTTCTTGAGGACTGAGAATTGTGATGTCTGGTCAGAGGCCAGAGAATAATGAATAGCATTAGGAGGGGGAGGGAGAGGGAAGTGATGGGGGTTGGGTGTGGACATGGATGGGGCCTCTGTAGTCAAGGGCAAGACTTGTGAAGCCGTGTTTGCTCTTTGTCAGCAGGAAATCCAGATCTCCTCCCAAAGTGCCCATTGTGATTCAGGACGATAGCCTTCCCACGGGGCCCCCTCCACAGATCCGCATCCTCAAGAGGCCCACCAGCAACGGTGTGGTCAGCAGCCCCAACTCCACCAGCAGGCCAGCCCTTCCCGTCAAGTCCCTGGCACAGCGGGAGGCAGAGTACGCTGAAGCCCGGAAGCGGATCCTGGGCAGCGCCAGCCCCGAGGAAGAGCAAGAGAAACCCATCCTCGACAGGTGAGTGCAGCTGGCAGGGCTGACCATCGCCCACCCAGCAGGCCACCATGAGGAGGAGGAGTGACCTGGCTGCACATAGAGTAGCGAGAAGCGGGCACAATCAGGGCTGGAATCATTGCAGCTCCCCCTGCCAACCCAGTCTGGTGGGGCCAGCTCATTGTCTCTGCCGCATTGGCTCGGGACTGCTCTGAAAGCTTTGAGGAAGTCATGGTTTGCTGGCATGCTGCCTTTGCAGGCACCAGGGGGCAGTGTGGCAGAGAGGTTAAAGGCATGGGCTTTGAGTAAAAATCTGCCGGAGTTTGAGCCCACCACTGTCACTTACTTCTGCTTAACTTAGAGCTGCTTAAACTCTCTGTGCCTTCATAGCCTAATCTGATAATGATAGTACCTGCCTTATCAAGTTGTGCAATTAATTGAGCATAGGATTCTGAGAACCCTGCCTGGCAGGATGGAAAGAGCCTAGTTAAGTGCTTAGATATTATCTTCTGGGTCTCATAATAGCCCACTGTGATGTTTTTGTGAATTTTCTAAATTATTTTTTATTCCTGGCTCTTTTTTTCACTGCAGTTCTAGAGGTGGCATCATGTAAGATTGTCACCTCCCAGAAAGGCAGTATTTGTTAAAACAGCCTGTTTCTAACTTTGAGAGCCCTGCTTGGGCTTGGTCTTCTGGGACTTGAAGAACTAATCTATGTACCTTCTCTCTATCACTTCATTGTTTTAATAGACATTCATTATCTCTCCTCTCAGCCTTCACTTGGCAGAGTGGAAAACGTCCATTTCCTTTCAGTCTTCCATAGTAGTATGAGTTGACCATTAATCCCATGATTTGGAGAGAAGCAGGTGGGCAGCAGTGGTGGATACTGGGTCACTCTGCTGAGCTCTTGGTTAGGGGTCTTTACCTTGGTCTGACCCTCTTCAGAATCTGTGCCACATGGTTCTGTGGAGGATGTGCTGTCCATGGTCACTACCTCTGGACAGGATGGGCCCTTGAGCACTCCCCTTCCTCCAGATGAATGATGGTGAGCCAGATTGAGGGGAAGAGTGCTGCAGGCGCTAGAGGTGACCATGGACCACCTGCCCCACCTGCCCACAGGGCTTCCCAACTTGGAGATGCCCTGAGTCTGCTTGCCAAAGAAGCAGGCTCAAGGAGCCAGAGTTGGCTGATAGCTACTGTGACTTCTGCCTCAACTGTGGGGGTGGTTGGTTTTAAGATTTGGGGACCTCTCTTATATCCTTTTTCAGGCTTCCCTCTGATCTTCTTCCCTTCAGGCCAACCAGGATCTCCCAACCTGAAGACAGCAGGCAGCCCAATAATGTGATCAGACAGCCTTTGGGTCCTGATGGGTCACAAGGCTTTAAGCAGCGCAGATAAATGCGGGCAAGAAAGGATGCTGCCGCCATCATCGCCTCCTGGGTCGTCCGCCACAGGTTGCACTGCTGTGGCAGACAGCTGGACTTGAGCAGAGGGAACGACCTGACTTACTTGCACTGTGATCCCCTTTGCTCCGCCCACTGTGACCTTGAACCCCATGCACTGTGACCTCCCCCTTCCTCCCCTTCCCACTGTGATTGGCACATCTACAAGGGCTGTCCCAAGTCAATGGAAAGGGAAAGGGTGGGGGTTAGGGGAGGGTTGGGGGGACCCACCAAGGACTCAGAGTAGAGAATCAGACAGTGCCACTTGGGGTAAAGCCAGTGCCAGCAATAACAGTTTATCATGCTCATTAATTTGGGATTTTAAAACACAAATGAGAACTCCCATCCACCCACCCCCAAGTGCATGTCTTCATCACTTAAAAGCGAGTTCCATTTGAAAATATCCTTTTTTTCCCCCTATTTTTGTTTGTTTATACAAATATCTGATTTGCAAGAAAAAGTGCATGGGAGGGGTTTTAGCAGTTTAATGAATTTTTAATTGAGAAAGGGTAGTTTGGTAGTCTACTTAAAAATGTTTCTGGGAAATTTACCAGAAACATTAACCAATAGGATTTTGGTGAGCTTAGCTTCTGTATTCCTACTGCCGCCCAGAAAAGGGGCAGGGCTCTGTAGCCCCAGGACAGATGAGCACCCCATGCCTATACCTCCCTCCCCCAGCTAAGTCCCAGGGCATCTTGGCCCTGCCTGGAGACTGGGCTAGCTCTATAGGCTCAGAGAGCCTGGGGAGGGTGCCAAGCCCACCTCTAGTATTTTGGGAGATAGGGAAAGTGAACAGACTTCCCCTTCCCATACCCCTCAGGGTGGTTCCCTACCAGCCAGGCTTGCTGCTTCTAGAAGAGAGCAGGGAGTGAGACTACACTCCTGGGCTTAGAAGTAAGGGATGTGAGACTTGCTCAGTATTTTGCTGTCGGCACAAGGAAAGCCAGGAGAGAGTCTGGCTCCAGGACTCAGAGCCTCCTGCCTAGTGTGGTCAGAAGGTGAAGAGATCCTCCCACTCCAGCAAGGCTTGAACTCTCTAGGGTCCATGGAGCGTCATCTCTCTTGATGGCACCAGCTCAGTACTACCTGGTACATTTCCTTTGTGAAGTCACTACCTTGGGAGCAGGCCATCCTGAATACATTTGGGAAAAGACAAGCTGTGCATTGCAAAGATTGGTGATGACAGACTGGTTCCCTACAGACCTCGGCTACCCTTCACCCCTTTTTCCAGAGCGAGGGCCTGGAATGAAGCAGTTTCCCTTCTGTCCCTGGAGCCTAGAGATTTGCTTTGGCTCTTCGAGTGGGAGAGCCCAAGAGGGCAGCTGCCCAGAGCAGCTCTGTGTGTGTACAGTCTGGCTCAGGCTTTCTGGTCTCTTCTGTAGCACTGCGCCTTATCCCTCAGCCAGCCAGATGTCCTCCCCACTCAGTGGATGAGTTTTGAAGTGGTTGGTGTGATGTTTTGTGATCAGGACAGCTTGAGGTGGCCAAGGTGGCAAGCTAGGTTTTGTAGGCTCACTCCACCCTTGGTTCGCCTGGCTCTCAGCCTTGCCCTGTGGGAATGGAGGCCAGGCCCAACAAGCCATGTCCCACAACGTCTTCCCCTTAGGAGGGAGGGCCAGGGGCCAGTTGAATCAGCAACTAGTTCATAGCACACGCAGCCTTGTAACTGTGTGAAGTCAGGAAATGGTCCATGAGCAGAGCTGGAACAGAGCTTCAGTCAGTAAGAACCCGCAGGGTGTTGAGTTGTGCCCACAGGCTGTCCTGAGGGGGAATTACCTCCAGGAGTGGGCAAGGGAGAAGGTTGGCTGCTGTCTTTATAGTTCCACTGCCCTGACCAGGTTTCCTCTTTCTAAATGTATAGTGTCCATCCTTCATGTAATAGTGGTTTCTGGCTCAAGGTGAGACTCTCCTTTCAGTTGGAGAAGGATACAGAGGTAGGCCAGGTGGGAAGGCCAGAAGTGCTGATTGCTCAGCCATTGGGACCACCTGCTCTTGCCCCCCCTCTCCCCTAGTGGGAGCCAAAGGGAAGGCTGGCTGATGGGTGTCTGTGGATTGAGGATGTAGTAGGGACTGGTGCTGCCGTCTCCCTACAGCCAAAGAGGAGGCTCTGCCCGCTGTGTGCCTGTTACCACCCACCAGCAGTCGTACCCTTGGCTTCTCAGATGGAGAGGTGGCAGGCAGAATTTAAAAAAAGAAATGAAAACAGGAAACTGTATTGTGTTGGGGGGAGATGGGAGAACGGTTTGGATTTTGTGTGTGGTGGTTTTTTTTTTTTTTTTGTAGTTGTCTGTAACTTTCCTTAAGTGCTTTTTTTTTCTTCAAAGTAAGCTGCAGGCTTTGGCTTGGAAAACCCCAGGGGAATGGGGGGCAGAAACTTGAGGCTGCTGCCCCTTTATCTGCCTTCACGGTACTGTCCCCTTCCCCGAGCTCCTCCCTGACCCCATGAGCCAGGCCTCAGACCTTCCAGCTAACCGCTTCCCATGAGCCACTACTCTGATGTCAGCCTATAACCAAAGGAGCTGGGGGTCTGGGCCTGGTGACCAACCCTTCTCAGCCCACTCAATCAGGGTGCTCCCCACCTGCAGGCAGGAGGCAACACCCTATCTGCTACCATCAGCCCCTTCCAGAGCCCACTGCCCCACCCCACCCGCCCTGTCCAGCCCAGCCATACCCTGCTCTGCCCCATCTGGGGATGCTGTGCTCAGGGATGGGCCGGCAGGGCTGTCCCCAGCCTCCCTGGTAAGCAGAGACTCTGGAAACCTCTGGGGTCCTGTTTTCTGGCTGTGTGATCCCAGGGGTACACATGGGCCCCTTGGGTGTCTGAACAGAAGGGCATGGGAGGGAGGGCCGCACCCCTGCAGTCCTGCTCTGCTGGTCCAGCGGGCAGCTGCCCACCCCACCCCACCCCGCACCGCGGGCTCCCGAGTCGGCAGATTAAGCATTTTATAAATTGTATTTTAAATACATGTTTTAAACTTGTCAGAGCCGTGTCCTCATTTCAGTGTCTGGCTTCGTGAGCTCTTGCTATGGCTGCTTGTTGGGCCGCTGGGGAGCTACCTCCACTCAGGCACAGGGAAGGGCTTTCTCTTTGTTAGACAGATAGGCCTGGGTGGTGAGTGGGTTGGGGGGCAAGGACCACACCCTTAGGCTCCGAGAGAAGGGGACCCCTGGGTCCTGGGGCTCTGTTGGTGAGAGCATGGCCGAGGCCCCTCCTGCCCTTCCATTTTTAAGGGCAGGGTTTTTCCCAGGTAACTTCCCTTATGTATACCCCTTCCTGCGAGCAAGTGGGGAGAGAGAATTCCTGCCCTCATGGGGCTCCTGGTCCAAAGGGGGCGACAGTGATCTGAGGAGAGACCCAGCTCTATGCTTTGAGAGGGCACAGAAGGTCACCCAGGGCCTCCTCTAGCAGGAGCCCCAACCCTGGGCAGGGTTTTGAGGTGAGCCTTGCTTCCGGGGTTCTCAAGCCTGAGGGAGGCTGGGGTGCTGCACTCTTGAGAGCCAAGTGGAGGGATGAAAACCTGGGGCCCTTCCCTGGCACGATGCAGAGGCTGAGGTTCTTGGTGTTTATTGGCTTGCCAGGCCACAAAAGCAAAATCGAGCAGAGGTCCACAGGCCTTGAACGGCTGCCCGGAGTCAGGACTCCTCAGTCAGTGGGTTCGAGCCGGCACAGAACTGAGCCACTTTCGGCTGTCAGAACTGTGTTCCCTAGGGAGAGAGGTCGGGGAGAAGGGTGGAAATGAGCCATCCCCTTGTGCCCAAGGAAAGAGGAGGCCCACCCTGGGAAGTGATGGAGCCACCAGTCGGGCTTGGGGACCTGATTCTGAGCCCAGTGTTCTTTAATCCCAAGGTACCTGGACGGGGACTGCTGCAGGGGAAGCTCCCCTCTGCCCAGCTAAGCCTGTTTCCTGCTACTCCTAACATGGAATCAGACTTGGGCAAAGGACTTGAGAGTTAAACCGCCTGCGTGAGAAAAGCAGATAGTGCCAGCCTAAGAGAAAGACAATATGTGCCACTGAGTCCTGGGCACAGGAAGGCATAAGTACCCTGACAAACTATCAATGTACCTGGCATGCAGGCCCTCCCAAAGGTTAGTTTCTTCCTCCTTCCATCCTTTTCCCTTTTTCCTTCCTGGAGCAACAGTCTCCCAGGTACCCTCTCTTGGAAAGGTGGATTCCCCTTGGGTTAGGCCAGGGGACTCGTAAGGAAGGGGATGGATGGGCCTGAGTTGGGGCCCCTGCCCTCTGGGTACCCACCTATTTCCTTGAGATCCTGACTGGAAGAAGAGGCTATGGATGTCAGGGCCCAGGCTGGTGGGGGTGCGGTGGTCCAGCACGTAGTGGCTGCCCTGCTTCCGGCGGACTATTCTCTTGTCCAGTCGCAGGCAGAGCGGGATGTAAGGCACCTGGGCATAGGGTCTCTGCAGGTTGGCAGCTGGCAAGGGAGGAGGAGGCAGAGGAGGAGAATGCTTCAGAGCACACCCAGCACTGGGAGACAGGCAGGCCCAGGTGAAATTCTGGCTTTGCCACCCAAATTGCTGCATGGGTTTGGGAAAATCACTTAACTTCTCTGAGCTTCTGTATAAGCCAGAGATGATGGTGGTACCCACCTCACAGAGTTGATGAGGATTAAAGGGATAATATATGCAAAGCGCTCAGCTGAATGCTGAGCACGGAGTAAGGGCTAATAATAGCTTAAGGAGGAGCTTGTGATGGGTCCTGGCAAAGTCTGGTAGGCACACTCTAGAGACTCTGGAATGCTCCTGGCCCATCACTTGGCACACAACAGGAGCCTAATAAATGGTACCCACTATTATGGGGAGGCAGCCTTGCCCAGTGAAAAGAGCACAGATTTTGCAGTCAGATCTGGGTGTAAACTCCTGTTTCTGACACGCACTAGCTGTGAGGGCTTGGGCAAGGTGCTTAAACTTCCTCGGTTTCAGTTTTCTTATCAGTAAAATGGAGTAAGTATATGATTATGAGGATTAAATTCTAGTGCATCTGCAAAGGGCCTAGCACAGTGAGTGACCCCAGTGGGTGCTCAGTTATGGTGAGCTGGGATTGCTAATCCCTCTCCCTTCACAGTCCAGGCTCTTGGAACCAACCTGTGCTCAGGGCTAAGGCAGCAGGGGCTGGAGATGGGGTAGTGATTATCAGCCCATCCACTGATGCACACAGTTAAGCCCAAAGTGGGAAAACGGTTCTCTCAGCTCCTGGGTCTGGCTGTGTGAGGGTCCAGGGAAGGAGGCCAGGTGGACGGGAAAGCAGAGCCCCCATCGTGCCCAGGGCCCTACCGTAGTCCTGTTGCTTCAGTCGGCTCAGCATCCTGAGGACCCTTCGTTCTGGGACTTCCAAGGTATCTGCCTGCTGGAGGTTGTAGGGAAGCTTCTTTCGGGACTGCAGCCGGCCTATGGCCGATTCCATCTCTCGGGCCTTACAGGTGCCTTCCTTCAGCTTCTTCTGGTAATAGCTAGGGAGGCAGTGCCCGCCCAGCTCAGCCTGGCCATGTTTAATTCACCCTCCTCCCTCATTCTTCCTGAGCCCCTGTTCTGTCTGGCCAGCTCTGGAACAGGGACACAAGCCCAGGAGTTGGGAGACCTGGGTTTTAGTCCCAGCTTTGCCATTAACTTCCTATGACTGTGGGCAAGTCGCTGCCCTGCTTTGGGCCTCAGTCACCCCTATGTAAAAGGAGGGGAAATGGTTATCTCTACCCTATCACTGCAAGTCACTTGACTTCTCTGAGCTTCAGGTTTCCCCTGGGTAAAACAGATCAAACAGTCCACATGTTAGAGAGTAGAATAACAAGGCCCATCAAGCATTCTGAAAATTTGGCCCATGGGAAGTCCTTAGTAAATGTTACCTATGATTTCTATCACTGATATTTTTACTTAGATGTGCAAGTGTTTTATAAGTCAGCCGTGCAGTTAACTCCTGCGCATCTTCCAGATTTCAGCTTAAGGGCCATCTCCTCCTGAATGTCCTCTGTCCTCCTGTAGACAAGCTAGGCTTCTGCTGCAGGCCCCCTGACAACCTATATTTACCCCATCATAACTCACGGCCCACTTTATTTTCTTAACTCATTGCTGCTTATCTTTTCCCCACTAGACTGAAGCACCATTCATTGATTCAACAAATATTCATTGAGTGTTTACTGCATCTGGTCACTCATCAAAGTGCTTGGGAAAGAGCAGAGCAGGAGATATCCATATAAGGTCCCTGTATCATAGCCTCAGCCCCAGCCACTGCTGCAGCCACCACCTCCAAACAGACTGTGACCAGCTTTGCACAGGGCCTGAGCCTCTTTCTTCTTGCCCCAGAGCTTCTCTGACACATATGCAACCCAGAAGGGCAGGAGAATTAAACACCTGTGGGGGCCACCCTTGACCCAAGGAGCCAGCAGCTGAGGTATACAGGCTTCTCTCTTTCTTCCCCTGACCGAGTTCTGAGCCATCGTTCAAGTCTCCTCAGAACATCCTGGGAGTGGTTGACTCATAACACATGCTTGTATTGGCTCCTCCTCTTTCTCTGTTCACATGCCTTCCCTCACTCCTGCTCTCTGGAATCACGTTCTAAATCAACCACCTAGGCACATATCTAGTGGGAGAGTCAGACCATGAGTAAATAAATAAAATATGATACCATATCAGTAGTGATGGGTGCTCTGAGGGGAAGTAAAAGCTGGGGAGGGGGTAGTGATGAGGGGCTACTTTGCTCACAGTAGTCAGCAAAAGTCTCGGAGGTGGTGACATTTGAGCAGACTGAGGGGAGGGAGCAAGCCAAATGGATATCTGGGGGAAGAGTCAGGCAGTGGGAATGGCATGTGAAAAGGCCAGGAGGTGGGAAAGAGCTTGTTGATCTCTAGGAACAGCAAGGAAGCCAGAGGGTCTAGAGCCTGGTGTGTGAGGGAGAGGGGGAGATGTGGGCAGCAAGATGGCAGCACCAGACCACTTTGTAGGTAGTGGTGATGGGTGGGCATGCTACTCAAAGTGTTGGGAAGCCCTTAGGGCTTAAGCTGATGGTTCTGCTCAGGCCTCTGCTTATCCCTGGGGCCTGGAATTTTGGGTTTTAATGGGCTTCACACACAGAATGTAGAAAATGAATACAGAAGATTGGATCTAGACCCCTGTGTAAAACTAGGACCTGAAAAGGCAACAAAAAGATAGACTAGAGAATAACTTCACCCCACAGGGACCAATCGAACATGAGCAGAGTGTGTACAACTGTCTTGGTCACAATTTGAAAGGAAATTACTTGCTCTCCACTTCCTCTCTTTCCCCTTCCTGTGGGCTTGAATTCAGAGGTGTTGCTGGTTAAGTTGGCTTAGGATTGACCTAGGGAATGGTGGAACAATATGTTGGAAAGAAACTGGGTGCTTGGGCAACCTTGTTTTCCTGCCTGCTTCCTCTGGACTATCAATACAAGAGAGGAATAAACTATCTTGCTTGAACTATAGTACACTGAGGTCTGTTCCTTAACTAATACACCAGCCTAGAATTCTATACCCAGCTCAACCATTCAGTCAATGTGAGGGTAGAATAAACATTTTTGCAGACATACAAAACCTCAAAAATTTTGGCTCCCCATGCAGCCTTTCTCAAGAAGCTATGGGAGCACACATTCTTCCAAAATGAGGGCATAAACCAAAAAAGAAAAAGAAGATATAAATACAGAAGAGATCCAACACAGGAGAGAGGCAAAAGTAAAGGAAGACGGTGAAGGGAGATCCCACAATGGCAGTGCAACTGCTATAAAGGACAACCAGTTTAGAGTGGATCACTATAGCTTACAGGACAGAATTTTCAAGAGCTGGCATTACCCTACCTGTTATTGAATTACTGCTTTTCTAACCCAAAAAATGTGCTCCCATTTTTTTTTAAGCAAACCAAACAAACCAAGAAAGAGTAAGACATGTGATCCAGCAAACAGAGAATACTAACCAGAGGAAAGGAAAAAAGAATTCCTAGGATGACAACAGACTCCCAAGAT